GGCTATCATATTCGGAATCAGCATGATCGATTACCTATAAGCTACCGCATTTCGTTAGAAAAGCGATTTGACAGTTGGATATGTTCCCTCGTAAGCTTATAGTCTTTACTATAGACGTAGTATATGCTTCTGTGCAGTCCATTTTTATAAACTAATGTTTTTAGTGGTTGAATCTTGACACATATCTAGATAAAAATATCAGGCACCTAAAAAAGCGTATGTCAATAGTATTGACTGTAATTACAAATGAGAAGAATCTTCTCAGTAAAGTGACAAGAAATCCCTTCACTACCTCTCGGGACAGAATAGTAGAAAACAGCTAACAAGAGTGACTTCCTTGGAAATAAATGTACGAGATTTTTACATATTTAAAATCTATGTTAAGTCTCAAGCTGGGAATTACAGAATACCATTGATGAGAAGTGATTTTTTTAAACTACGGTGATAAAACTGATAAATGGAGTATTGCGAAGATTCCTGTCAGACTAACGAAAATGGTTGTAGAACTGTATTTGTCATAAAAGTGCTGTTGAGAAAATCTGCAGAAACAATACTTATTTGTCGTATTATGGGAACTATGTCATTCTTTATTTGCTTGCTGTTGAAAGATATTTTGAAAAGTATTAGTTATGAACTTACGAAAAAATACACAATTCATGCTCTTTTCTCTTTCTAGATGCTTTCTAATACAGCTTTTTGAAGACGTTATATTGTGCTGGGAACATTGGTAAGAGAATTAACATCAGTTACGTAAGCTTTTTAAACTTTGAAGAGCTATCGGTTTATGCAGGAGATTCAATTGCTTATGATTATAGTATACTTTGCTTATTTCAGTAAAACCTAAATAAAATATGTTATTCTTCTTAATTTTTTCTTTGATATTGGCGATAATTATAATCATCGTCGTCGCAAATCGGGCACAACATTTTCTCGTAAAGAAATGTTATACATTAGATGGTATTGGGCATCGGCCTATGCCTGGAGCATGGGATTTGTTAATGGAAGAACCAGTGCTGCATCAAAGTAGTCTGTACCGTCTTTTATAAACACTATAAATCGACCTTAGACAGACGATTCTTAAATGACTTTTACTTGATAAAAAACGGTACATATTGGTTGACTTTCAAAACTAGAAAAACAATAATAACTCGAAGCTATCCTAATAAGTGACGAGCTTGAACCACAAGACGATAACCTTGTTCAAGGTACTTAAATCTTTAACGGAAGTACAGAAGTGGTTATAGCTCGGAATGAGACTCTTCCTGGCGAGCGGAAACGTATCCACTAAAATGCAAAACAAAATGGTCAAAGATCATCCAAATCCAATATCTTACGATAACTAACTGTCAAGTGGTCGTTATGTTTACAAGTACCAATTACCGACATCTTTTTCAGCAAAAGATTTCGTACATTCATGTTTTATTTATGGTCTTGTTTAGTTTTTTTGCTATTATAGAAAGAAAAAAGTCTTCATAATGCGGTAAAATTGATCCTTTAACTTGAAAACGGATATATAAATGTAGTTGACGTTTATAAAGAGAAAGAAATACAGTTCAAGTTTAAATAGTGTTAGCAGAGATGGGCGAATGACTCGGAGACCCGGACTCTAGTCGCATTTTTCTATGACTCAGACTAGAACTCAGACTCCGGGTGAACGACTCGATAAACTTGATAAACAGACTCGAGTCACTTTCGAGTCAGTCATGTGCAACTTGGGGTTGTTATTACGGTGTTTATTATATTTGTTGTATAGCAGAAGAGAGAAAGATTTGAGAATATTCTAAGTAGAACATTGCGTCACATGAGAGGATCGAAGATCTGTTCTTGGAAAAATGAATCACGCGGAAGTTTTCCTCTAGAAAATGACTCGAGTCAATTTTTGATGCGACTCGGACGTCGACTCAAAGGCTACTGACTCGGACTCGCCTCAGACTCGAAAAAGCGGTGACTCGCCCATCTTTGTGTGTTAGGTTGTAAGTAAGAATAAAAAATGAAAAGGAGGGGGTCAATAAGCCCCAAAATCCGCCCCCTCCAATGGTGTATAAATAAATGAAAAATAAATTGGTCGAGAAAGCTTGAATTTCCTGCGCCTTACTTGGTTTTTCTGTGCTCGGTCATGGCTAAATCAAATTCTCTCCAGCATATCGAATACATTGAGGAAAACAATACAATACGTATATTACTTTTATTTTCTGCTAACTGAGAGATTAAGCTAGCAAACTAGAAGATGATATTAATTGTCCTAATATACCTAACAGTATTGCTATTCAGATGACAAATTTTGGCAATTATTATAAATTAAATAAAGCAAAACAAACTGTTACTTGTGGTAGTTCAATGTTTTTACAAACATTAATCGATAAATTAGCCATTGATGGTTATGCTCTATCAAATATGCCGGGCTACGGTGGAATAACAATTGCTGGCATTTTACAGGTAATAATAAAAGATAAGGTCTCTTCTTCACAGTAGGCATTCCGGTAGACATTCAACCAAAAAGTCGAATGTGAGCTTTTTTCCAGATTTAATCAGCGGACAATAAACATTAATATATGGCCTATTTATTTCATACTAACTTTATCAGTGTAAAGTTTTATAAATCTTATCTGAGCCAGATATGTAACCGGCACCGCAACCGCTAGTCCGATCAGCAATTTCCGACCGCTCGGCGAGAAAAACAATGTTTGTTTGTCTGAAAAATAAGTGCTTTGTCGAAAACGGACTTCCTGAGGTAAGGGAAGCCGTCCAAATTCACCGGTAACTGGATAGGACAGAAAATTCAGAACAGTATTATTCAATATGCCTGAAAAAAAGAATATGGAACTATCGTATAATAGAAAGAACATGAATAGGAGCTCTCAGAGTACATTTGGAACTTTTTGATTAATCATAAGCGAATAGCATGTAATGTCGGCTACAAAGCGAACAAATTGGCCTGACATCAGTGGCTATTTTTTGTTTCGAAAGAAAATATGTTCTATGCGCATGAAATATGAGCGTGCAGAAAAAGTAAATTTGAACAAAACAAAACAAGCTCAGACAAAAGAAACATACAAGCATCATCTTTGATGTATTGAGTTTAGGTAAAAAGAAATGATGTTTAGTATAAGAGATCATTAAAATAAAACTTTCAATAATAGAGATTACACAACTGAGTCAATGTAACATAGGAACAACGATCGATCGGAATAACGGGGGAACAGACGAATAGCAGAATGACGACCGACTCGAATTATTTTGACGCGTCCCCCAAGTGTTGAATACTGTGAAAATCTACGCAGAGCTCTTTCCACCCCAAAACTCATTTGTGAGTCGAGAATCCTCTATCATCCGTTGTTGCAGTAACGAACAGAACACTCATCCAAACCATTTTAGAAATTGAACTAACAATGATCCTGTTTTCTTTTTGAATGACGAGCAATTTTCTCGCAATCGATTCTATGTATGCGTACGACTAAACGGAAGCAAAAAGATGAAAGATAAAAGGAATATGGGTTTATATATATTTTATTATATGCGTTACATATTTTTCTTGACTTACTACTTCTAGTAGCTTAATCTTCTCTTTCCGCTATGACCAAGCATAGGTGGAGAAACCATGAGACTCTGTAGGTTTGAGCCTCACTAAATTTGAGAAAAAATTAGATTTTCTCTGCTAAAGACTTATGAGTTTGAAATATTTACAAAAGAAAGGCTCCTACATGAATGCGGGAAATCAAAACTTCATGCTAACAAACCGTTACAGTTAAGAAATGAGAATATCTCAGTCAACGCCACAGCCAGCCTGTGAAAAGTGATTTCATACTAACATGGATGAGATTTTTTTAAATTCATAATACCTCTAAACGAGGGGAAATTTCGAGCCTGTTTACGTTTCAAAACGCTCCGCCGCGTCTGGCCAATAATAATAAAGATTCAAACAGAAAGCTACCATCGATCGAAGAGAAAGTCGGAAGTTCAGGAAGTAGCCAAATTCCCAAAAAATGGTGGATAATAGCATTAATAAAATGACTAGTATTCGAAAAGAGCTTGATGAACAGTGAAAAAAGTTGGATCAGGTTATTACGAAATTACAATTAACTGTAAATGTGCGAGTAACAGCAGTTGTTTTCAAAATGAAAAGCTGTGTTTTCACAATAGCTGCTGATACTCTCACGTTTACATCCAAATTATTACCTCTCAACAAGTAAAATACAATTAAATGTATCGGTAAATGACCATAATATAACTAGTTTACAAATGAATTATTCCAAGCATTCGCATCAAATGTTGTGATTCCAAGGATTTGGTTCTTTAAAAAGATAATATATTGTTTAATTGGAAAATTCAGAGGCTTTTTGTTACAGCTGTTATAACTGTCATACATCTCAAAATAAAAGAATTTAGGTCAAAAACCATCTTAACCCTGAAAACATCCCTGTACAATCATACACAATATTACTAAATGTAAGTTAATTATATCTGCTGTCGAAGATTATAGATGATGCGTTTCCTCTCATAGATATAATTATTATTATCGAAGTTTCTTCGATAAATGCCACTATACCAGAATAATGACTGTAAGAGAATATTAGTGCTATTTTTGAAAAATAATTAAAAATTACTACAATAGAATATACACTCCAGTTCAGTTAATTATTCCCATGAGGGTAATTTTTGTTGAAAACTTGCGATATATCGAGATATTATGCTAAATGTGCTGAAATATCGCGATAATGAGCAACTCTGGCGCGATATAAAAGCGAGTGTAGTTTATGGCAGTCTCTCGATAAAACGCAGTTGGCAAAACTATCGCGGTATACAAGTCATTTAGCGTTGTAAATACCAGTATGTCAATAAACCGCGATTAATATTTATCGGACTTTATCCTGATAAAAGTACTATCGTTGTATGTGTGATCTTTATCTC